CCCCCCGCAGAATCGTCGCATCCTTACGCAGGGCCAATGGCTGCCCTTTGATCCCTGGAAAGAGAATTCTAAAGCAAAAAAGCAGGTGGCCCCAACCCTGTCAGTTTTGAGTTGGGCCACTAATGTGAGAGTCCTACTCCATTTACTCTTCTTTATCCCTTTACAGCGCTGGCTTAAACTGAAACGCGTCCTGTTTTCTAGTCCTCTGATACTTAGCTTTGGTTTTGGCAGCGCTGGGGACGGAACAGGACCTCTGGCATACATTCTTTATCGCTGAGCCTAAATTAACATTAGTTCCCCCACCCCACCCCAGACAGGGTTTCTCTGTGCAGCCTTGGCTGTCTTGGGCTGATTTGTAGAGCAGGCTGGCCTCAAACTCGCGATCCGCCTGCCTCTGCCTTCCTGAGCGCTGGGATTAAAGGCGTGTGCTTTAACACACCCAGAGTAGCATTCCTTTTTTTTTTAAGGAACACTCTCGGTCTACTAAGTTACTTGCTTCATATCCAGGCCTGTGTCTTCCCTAACCCTATCACCTTCCTACCGCTCCAGTGGCTTCTGTGCTTGTCACATCCCAGACATGCAGCCAGATACTGCAAACCACAGTAACTGTATGGCTGCTCAGGTGTTAGCATACTCAGAGCTAAGCCACACTGCTTGTTTGTTTGTTTTAGACAGGGTTTCTCTGTAGCCTTGGCTGTTCTGGATTCTGTAGACCAAACTGGCCTCTGAACTCACAAAGACCCATTCGCCTCTGCCCCCCAGCTGTCTGGGATTACAGGTGTGTGCTACCAAGCCTGCTTTTTTTTTTTTTTTTTTAAAGTAAAGTAATGGGAGTGTCAAATACCCTTCAAATAAAAACTAGCTTTGTCTGAAGGATAGGGGAGTTAGGATAGGCCAGTTAAGTCCTTATCTCACCATGTGGTGTTTCCGTCATAACAGGGTTGTTGCAACCACAGTCTGTGTATGTGTGGGTACGTTCTACCTGTCCTGCCTCATCTGCCTCATATAGGTTGTTCAGTAACTTCCTGTTCTTAAGGTATTTGGTATTATGATTGGGTTCTCTTGGCCTCCTTCCTTTCAAGCTCCCTCAATCCCCACTTGCCTATTTTTAAAGCAGCAGTAATCTTTCTCTTCCAGATGACAATGGCAGATGCCAGATCTGTTTATAGCTTAGCCTTCGCAAGGCCTCTGGTGACATGAGCACTGTTTTTTGCTTAGTAAGCTGGTTTTGTTTATAGTGTTCATGGTCTTTGGACTAGTGCTGTTTTTAGTAAACAACTTATCAGCGTCAGCTTACCAGAATTCTGGAAGGCCAAACGTCCAGCCCTCTTTGTAGATTTTTTAAAGAACATTTTTATTTCAAGGATTAATAAGTATTTTTATAATCATAATTTAAACATAAATAATGGGGGCTTGAGATGCAGCTCTGCTGGCGGAGAGCTTGCCTAACTTGCAAAGCCTTGACTTTGATCCCCAGCACCAGATAAACCAGCCCTTAGGGTGTAGAGGCAGAAAGATTAGAAGTTCAAGGTCATCTTTCAAAGACAAAGAGTTGAAGGCCAGCCTGGGCTACTTGAGATCCTGTGTCAAAAACAGCCAATGAATGACAGCTGTCAAGATTTTGTGCTGCAAGAGACACACGGCCTAGTGATCATCATCATAGCTACACTTATGGACTACAGGGCAGCATGGCCACACTTCATTCTTGCTTGCATATCTTGTATCCCGGAACCTGTGAGCCTTCTGAGAATGGGGGGGGGGGGGCTTTTAGAGGGCCAGTGGGATGGAGTTCCATTCCCAGAACCTGAGTGCTAGGAGAAGACTGATTTTCCAAGTTGTCCTTTGAGCTCAATGCGTGTGACTGCTTTTGTCTTCTGTCTGTCTCTGTCTCATACAAAGTAAATTTTTAAAATGCCAACTTTATTTTATTTAAGTGACCAGAGTTGACATAGAGTGTTGGCTGGAATTAGCTAGGAAGGCAGTGGTATAGAGCTGTAGAGGAGTTTTAGGAACAGACTAAGTAATGCTTAAAAAGGGAAAACATAGATTTTATTTTCTTGGTTTTTCAAGACAGGGTTTCTCTGTGTAGCCCTGGCTGTCATGGAACTTGCTCTGTTCATTAGGCTGGCCTCCAACTCAGAGATCCCCCAGTCTCTGTCTTGTTAGTACTGGAATGAAAAGTGTGTGCCACCATGAGCAGCTTTATTGAACTACAATTCCTGTATCATAGATTCCATCCTTTGAAAATATACAAGTATTGGTTTGTTTGCTATATTCACAGACTTGTGTGGTATTACTACTGTCTGACTTGAGAACTAAAGGACGAATTAATTAATGTCTGAAGTTGTCCTGCTTTTATTTTAGCTGTGGAGCTTTAAAATAACACCATAAGGTAATTAATCCATCAGATAATTCTAAAATGTAGAAAAGGGATTTGTTATTGTAGGGTGTTTTGCAAGTTGCATCCAGTCAGATTTGGTAGAAGAGAAGAGAGGACCTGGTTTTGTAATGCTTGCAAGAAACTCAAAGGGCTTTCAGGGAGCCTTTGTCTATCATCTCAAATGTCCCCTCCTCAGATTCACACTCACTAGCATGCTTGCTATTTTTTTTTTTTTTTTTTTTTTTTTGGAGTTGGAAAAAGGTCATTTTTCCTTTTCTTCTTCCTCTTTTTGTTTTTGTTTTCTCTGTGTAGCTCTCGCTGTCCTGGAGCTGACTTAAAGTCGTGCACCACTCTGCCTGGCTTAGTAAATTTTCTTGATGTTAGAATACTAACCTTTTTCCTTCAAGAAGTGAAGTGGTATTTATTGCTGTATTGGTAAGAAAGTGTTAATAATTTTGTCCCTCCCTGTTGTGAAGTACTTTGGCATATTATTAAACATGATTAGGAAATGTCTGTCTTTGTAAAATTTGAATTTCAGAAATTCTGAAGTGAAAGGAAACATCTGAGTCCTGGTTCTCCACTTGGTGAAGATGAAGGATATTGACATGGGAACAGAGTACGTCATCCCCAGTCCCGGGTATAGAAGTGTGAGGGAGAGAAGCAGCATGTCTGGACAACACAGAGACCGAGAAGAACCCCGGTTCCAGAGAGCAAGACCGGTTAGTGTTTCCTTCCCTAGACCCTGTGCCTACAGCATATCTTCTTTGTCATAGGTTACGTATTAGAATTTTATTTTTCTTTAGTGGCTTTAGGTCAGTGTTAAGAACTTAAGATTGCTTAGACTTGGAGTGTAGCTCAGTGGTAGAGTGCATGCTTAGCTTGGTCCCCAGTGACAAGAAAGGGCTGGTGCAGTTAATGGATGTGGTGTGTGTGTGAGAGAGAGAGACAGGCAGACAGACAGGGCGATACATTGCAGCGTGGCTAGTCTGGAATTCTCTGTGTAGAACATCTGCCTGTTTCTGTTTCAGAAGTGCTGAGATTAGAGGTAGCACCGGGCCTGGCTTCCCTTTTCATTGATAACATTTTTCAGGAGGAATGGGGACATAGCTAAATGATAGCACTGTTGCCTGGGATGTATAAAGCCCTGGCTGATTTCAGGACCCATTACTGGAAAAAGAAAAAAAAAAACAAAATGAAAAACAGATAGTTTGTGTTGCAGGGGAGGGGAGAAAACCAGAGGATAGTGGGAAAATGAGCCATTTAGCTTCTTTCATGTACTTCAATTTTTTTTTTCCCTCCTTCCGTCTTTGTTTTCTGTGCTGAAAATAGGAATTATTTTGCCAGGCATGGTGTCTCATGACTTTAATCTAGCACTGAGGAGGCAGAGGCAGGAAGGTCTCTAAAGTTTGAGCCTGGCCTGGTCTGCATAACAAATTCTAGGCCAGCCGTAGCTACACAGAGAGATCCTGTATCTTCATTAGGGTTACTATTGCTGTGATGAAATACCATGACCAAAGCACCTTGGGGAGCAAAGGGTTTATATGGCTTACATGTCCACATCACTATTCATCATTGAAGAAGTCAGAACAAGAACTCAAGCAGGGCAGGAACCCAGAGCCAGGAGCTGATGCAGAGGCCATGAAGGGGTGCTGATTGGCTTGCTTAGCCTGCTTTCTTATAGAACCCACGACCACGGACCCAGGGGTGACCGCACTCACAGTGGGCTGGGCCCTTTCCCATTGATCACTAATTGAGATGATGCCCTCCAGGCTTGCCTATAGCCCAATCTTAAGAAGGCATTTTCTTAATTGAGGTTCCCTCTTCTCAAGACTTTAGCTTGTGTCAAGGTGACATCAAACTCTCCTGTACAACAGAAAACAAAAGAAGGAACTATTTGGAGAGACTCAGCTTTCCTTAAATGGTTAGAATAATTAGTCTAGGTAGTTGTAGGATAATCAGTGAGTGTTGTAGGTGAATTTGTGGATGTAAGGCTGTTTTTGGTCATAATCTAAATTTCCTCCAATAGAAATACTAAGGTACGTTTTATTTTTTTTAAGGTAGTGCATGTTTTTCTTTTTATGGTTTAAAAAAATGCATTATATCTTTTCTGGAATTGCAAAAGAAGCCAATATGGCTGGAGGGCATTTGGGAAGTTTCAGGTTTATGGTCACGTGTTTGCCCTGTGGACACACAAAAGCTTTGGTCTTTGGAGCTGACGCTGGTGTCTCAGCTTTTGGTTCCTGGGTAGATGAAAGCCATTGCTTGCTCCTCAGTCAGTGTTTTGTTTTTTTGTTAATGGGCTGTCTTTGTCCCTACTATAGAACACCTCATCACTCAGTATCCAGCGTTTCTTGGTTCCAGTTTTGTAACTATGTGCCCTTACTATCTAGATCTTGTATTAACCAGATCTAGATGTTGAAAGTATGTCTTGTACTTGTCAGGCCATTGTCTGGTAGTTAGATCTGGAAATGTTAAGGGTACATTAGTTGGGCTTTGAAGGATGATGGGAGGATCTTAGGCAACAGAGATAAGGATCTAGAAGCACAAAAAAAGGACATGGCACATTCGACCTTGTGCCCACCTTGTGTCATTGTGCCTTCCATATGGTAGGATTAAGTGAGGTAGTACTACAAAATACTTAATAGTGATGCCTGGCATGGTCATTGCTCAATAAATAATTTGCTTTTAGATTAGTTGTTTATAGTGTAGGGTGTGTCAGGAAAATTTCTTAGCACAAGCATGCTAAGAAGTCTTTTTAATGGGCATTAGGAAGCCATTGGAAATTAATAAGATTTAAAAATCACTAATTTTAAGATAACTAAATTTGTGTGCTGTTATAAAAAAATAGTGACCATCACTACAGGAGTGACAGTGATCCAGTCCACTGATTTATTAAAAGTTCAGCAGCTTGGGTTGAGGAGAGATCAATATTGTACTATAGTTGATTAGGCAAGATGTTAACTCCCGGGAACCCCAAAACACGGAAGGGATTTTTCGCTGTTATTTTCTGTAATCGCATGTAAATAAAGGAATAAATAAAATAGACTAGAGGAAGTACCCAGAGCTGACCTCTGACTTGTACACCCTCAGGCATAGGTAAGTTCATCTCAAGCTCACACACACACACACAGGTTGCTATGTTCTTTCCCAGAGCGGCTGTATCACTATGTACTCGTACAAGCAGTCATCCTTGGGGTGCTTATCATTTTCATCATAGGCAATCTGATAGGTGCTTCTGACACCTCTTTGTGGTTTCCATTGCATTTCCCTAATGACTGGCAACTGCGTTGAGATAAAGAAGGGATTTTAAAGTTTCATGTTGTTTTCCCCCTAGTATTGAGGATTGACCCTAGGGTTTCTTGCATCCTAGGCAAGTACTCTACCAATGAGCTAGTTCTTTAGCCTAGAACTTGCTCTGTAGTCCAGGCAGGCATTGAACCTACTCTCCAAGTATCTGGCTGTACCACCAGGCTTTGCTGTCTTTATCTGTCCATTTAGGAATGACAGCACCTTATAGCCCCAACTGGTATCCAACTTTTGATCCTTCTGCTTTAGCCTCCTAATGGAATAATAGAATTACAGGAATTAATAATGGAATTACAGGAATGTGATACCACCTTGCTTCTGAGGATGCACTTTTGTTTTCCATTTTTTTTTTTTTTTAATAGAGGGTCTCATGTAGCCAGCCTTGAACTCACTGTATAGCCGAGCCTGGTCTTCAACTCCTGCTTCTATTTTCATAGTATTAGGATTTCAGGCATGTGGCCAACAAACCCAGCTTAGAAGATATATATCTTTTTGAGACACGATTTCTCTATTATAACCCTGGCTGTCCTGGAACTTACTTTGTAGAGTAGGCTAGTCACAGACTCACTGTTGTCTCCTGAGTGCTGGGATTAAAGTTGTGTATCAGCATCCCAGCTGAGAAGAAAAATTTTAAACTTTTTTAAATCCTGGATTAGTCTTGAAATAATGTGAAAAATCCTAGACAGAGGAAAGAGAGGGACGTGGGTGAAGCTGGGGTCTGTTTTCAAACACAGGTAAGGAAGGAGATGGAGGAGAAGTTGAGGGTCTCTCTGGAAGCAAGAGCCAGCGAGGTGTCTGAAATTAGCTAAACTTTAAAGTTGAAGAAAAAGAAAATTTAGAAGAGTGTATGATTTTGATCACTTCTATGCCTCTTGGCTAACATCAGGTGTGAAGAGAGAGTTTTTTTTTTTTTTAAACAGGAAATGTTTTATCCCACGATGCTAACATTTAGTCCTGCATTGATGGGGTGTGCAGTAGCTCTGCCAGGCTTTTCCTCTGTAGACAGAGAGGAACTGCAAATGGAGCCAATTAAAAAGGTGTTGATTTTGCTATTTTCCTGCTTTTCTTAACGTCTTTGCCTTAAAATATTTAAGAAATACTTATTTTTAAAAATTTATTCTTAGCAATAAATCATAGTTTTATTCAACTAGTTTTTGTATGTAAATTATAATGAATATATCACCGTTCAGTATTTTTAGAAGTACACATATCATCTAGAGTCTTGGATACCTCCCGTCAAAACCAGGATTTCCCAAGTGTATTTCCTGTAAGCTTGTGGGCAGCGTAAGCTCGCTCACAGCAGAATCAGCATGATGACAGAAGTGCTCAGGCTTGAAATGATACTCATATCGGTAACATTAGTTTTTAGGGAAGAATATACATTTTAAAAAGAAGCAAAACAGAATGAAGCCGAAACCCAGAACAGATGATTGGGTAAAGAGTGTGGTTTCCTTCCACAACATCCTGAGCATCAGCTCTGCATCATCCTTAGAGAGCAGCTCCTGGAAGCGCCCAGGCACCCTCTACCTGCCACTGTTCTGGAAGGAACAGTATCTCTGTACAACGAAAGAAGATCTCTGTACATCTTGTTTTCTTAATTTGAAAGGAAGGCTTTCTTGGCCACTGTTGATCTTTGATATCCAGTTAACATGTAAGCATACAACACTGCCAAACAGATGTCAGAAGCAAAAAGGACCAGGTTAGAAAGCACCTGAAAATCTGCTTTGCACATTTCTTGGTATTGTATGTGATCAGACCTTTTTTTTTTTTTTTTTTTTTTTATAATCTGGGAAAATGTGTTAATCAGTTACATCTAAATATCTATAGTTTAGTACAAATGCTTGGAGATAATTAGGACAAAAAATAAACACATTTTTACCCTTTAGAACTATGAAGTTACTGGGGATTGCCACACACAGTCTGAGGCTTAGCAGACAGACATGCTTCACTCTCAGGTGCTAATGGTGTGGTTTGTGGTTGTCAATTCCTTGGTCTAAGAGTGAGTGTCGATTGACATTATTTGAGCTTATGCGTAGACTTCTCTCTGGACCACTGCTGAACACTGTCATTAGGCTGAACACGGTTTGCATTGTGTTTGTGCACATGGAAAGTATATTAGTCCAGGAGTGCTGATAAGTTTTGGTTTTGGTGTTGGTGTTTGAGCCTTGGCGTTGCACACTCTAGGCAAGCATGCTACACCTCCCTGGTCCTTATCTCCTTGTCTGTCTGTCTGTCTGTCTGTCTATCTATCTATCTATCTATCTATTCACTTATTTAGAGTGTGTGATGTTTTCATTTATTTAACAAGCCTGTTGGTTTGAATGAGAATGGCTCCCACGAGCTCATGTGTTTGAATGCTTGGTCTCCAGTTGATAAAATTGTTTGGGAAGGATTAGGAGGTATGGCCTTATTG